AAAATTAGCTTGTTCCGCAACGCAGCGAAGACAGAGAAAACAAACACCCATGTCGGCGATTTGAACGCCCCGCAACTATTCCGCTGCGCCAAATGGGCCCTAAGATTATCATTGTAGTTGTTGATTTAATTGCCAAATCTTTGAGCAAAGATTTGTCATCATCCCGTGTCAATTCAAGAAGTCTAAGCGCTGCAACATCTTTTCCTTGGTCAAGCAACGATGTCATAGACAAAGGCTCGCTTTATAACTTTGAAGCATAAGATTGAATTCATAACCGTGGTTGATGTTGAGTCGCCAATTTACTTTTAGAGTCAAACAGCACAATTAACTCCTACTTCTGACGTATGAGGCCAAATACAGAAATAAAACAAGAAGTTGGATCTAATCTAATATTATTAACAAAAATAATTTGTTTAGAAAAAAGAATTTTGATTTCGTTAGTAAATTCATTACATAAAATCTTAAAAAATGAAAATTCAAAATACAAAGGTTATATTTGTGGCGTTTTCTTGCAATTTCTAGTTTCACCAAGTGCACCAATCAAAAACTAAAACAAAAGAACATTGGTGCTGCACCAATTTCTAGGTGGACAGCTTGCAAATCTAGACGAGTCCTTAAACTTGCTATACAACACTGAAGCTCCTCCCTACATGCAATAAAATTATGATCAATGTGAACTTAAGAGGAAGGTTACTACTTTGAATTAGCAAATGCAAGACAAACTCAGTCCTGACACTATGAATTGACTCATTGGGAAGTTTCTAAAAACTCAATAATGTGATTAGCATGCCAATTTAGACCGACTGCTACTTTGTTAAGACACTTCCCATCGACTTGGTTAGAGAATTCAAAATTTTATATCTTCTCTGCAAGATTTCATTTATTCTACCACTTTTTGAATCATCAACATTTAACTTTACTTCAAAATAACTTGCTTATTTTTTCAAGTTTTTAATCTTAGGAATCAACTCCTCAAACTTGCTCTCAGGGATCCTTTTCTTTGACGCCTTCCCAGACTACTTTGTTATAGAGACAATGTCATAAAAAACCTTTAATTTTATTGGGAAACTGAGCTTCTTCTTAGTCAAAAGACATAACGACCCAAGAAGTTTAACGTTTGCTTGCCCCAACACAAGCACTTTTACATCATTAGTAGGCATATTGCACCTCACCAGCTTTTCAACGCTCCAAGTTAGTTCACTCTTTGGCCGAGTGGCCTTAGAGAACTTGTCGCCGCCTTCCATGAAGTGGAACTAAGAGTCTTTTCCATCTTTTTTAGGAGGCTATGGATTAGCTCAAAGACTAGAACTTTACTTTGGGTGCGTCGATATGGACACCATGAGATACTTGATTGATTTTTGCTACAAAAGAGGAGCTTTTACTGCTAATTTTTTTATTTTTTATTTAAAAGTTTTTAACACAGACGTTTGTCCTTGTAGGACTTTCTTTTGGGGACTCTAGTTGGAATGTTTGCTCCCTTAATGACAATCTCTCCATCACCAAATGTCTTCTTAACAGTGAACTCCTCAGTTATAGAAGCTTTCTATTTAGTTGTCTTGCTTAGTTGAGGATCCAAGACCTTATGACTTCCTTTATTATGTTTGCTCTTCATTTTCTTTAGTGGTGGCATCTCCACTGACACAGACCTTTATGCATGCTATAAAGATCTCATCTTTGTAGCTTCATTATATTTCCTTCTGAATCATCAACAACAAGAAGGGTAATATCATGATGCAGCCCTTGAGTTTGAAATTTTCAAGATAGGAACAAATGATCATATAGAATTTAAATTACAGCCATTAACTCTAAGGTTGATATCAAAATAAAATTTATAAATTTTCTTAAAATATTAACCACCAATACAATTAAAGAACTGTCAATCTTTAAAATTTATTCTAAAACAATGTAAATTCTCTTCTTCCACTTATTTAATTCTCATCAATTCCTTGTTTTAAAAATTTTAATTAAATATAATGATGAGTTATCAATCATAATTCAATGAATACATCATATTTTTAAGTTAAAATAATTTAAAAGGAATTTATAAGGCAACATTCATTCTTGTTAAATAAAATAAATCGATGTAAAATTATTTCTCTTGTTTTGTATGATACATCAATCATAAGAGCACAATCTAAATTGTAATATTTAAGGTACTTCAATATCAATAGCTTTTTGTCATATTATGCGTGGACACATTAGCATTTTGAATTAGCACCATAAGAAAGTGAATTCTTTTAGTCAACATGCACATGTGGATATTTCTATATAAATAATTACATTCTTCATATTAGTCCATATCTTTATATAGTAAAATTTATATGGTATGAGATAAGTAATTGAAACATTCATATCATTCCATTTCTTTATATAATAAAATTTATTTGGTATAAGATAAATAATTGAAACATTCATATCATTCCATATCTTTATATAGTAAAATTTATATGTTATAAGATAAGCAATTGAAATATAACAAAAATCTACATGGTTCACTTCAATATTGCTATTTTTTTTCATAATAGAAATAAATCATAAATGAATTTTGCAAGAACATTTGATTAGATGAATATCAATAACAATATATGCATTTGATATTACCATAAATTGAAAAATACGAATACCGACCTCAACCTCAGATGACCCGTGTTTGCCTTTTAGTGTTTCACTCTACTTAAGTTGATATCCTATAACTATATATGTACGGCACCATGTTTATTAGTTTTTTAAAAATTATGCAAATTCCCCTCCTCTCTAAATTTAGTAAGATTTTTATTTAATAAGCCTTATTTTGTGTGTCCAATATAGTGCGATAAAACTACCAATTTCTATCATTATAGTTTTATATAAACTATTTAAGCTGACTCTTATACTTAAGCTATGTATGCTTATCTTTGCTATTTTTAAAATCATATAACATTTTTTTCATTCAAGTTTATAAACCAGGCTTTGTTAATTTTTCTTTTATAGTTATTGTTGTTCTTTAAATTTCTAGTTCAATGCTTTACATTCTTTTCATATAAAAGCATTTGTAATTCTAAATATTTTTTTACTCGGTTACATAAATAAAAATTTTTCTTAAACTTATGTAAGCACATATTTTATAACTAATTAATACATCACTACAACTAATTTATTAATCTTTTAATTTCTTAATTTCAATTCTTATTTATTTATTTTTTGCATTTCATTCCTTAATTTGTGTTAAACAACAATTGTAATATTTAACTACAAATTAGAGTTTATACAACCTTAATTTTACCCAATGATTTAATTTATTTACTACTCTATATTATACTTTTAATATTTCAAAAATTATCTTTATAACGTAGATGCCTAAAGCTTTAAATGAAAGTAAGTTTAATATTTTTCATAAATGTCAAATTTCATCAAATGTAAATTCCATACCTTCAATACACTTCAACTATCTTCCTTCACTAGCTTTATTCTTCTTCTTCCCCATATAAAAACCTATTCAGAGTTATGTATTTAAACCCTAACTAGATGTTGGCTTTCAAATTGAGTTTTTTTTTTTTATATAAAAGAGAAAATGAAATATATATTTTGAGTTGGCTTTACCTTGAGTCGAACCTTAGTGGAGGAAGAAAAATTTCATCCTCTTGTTCCAGTTTCATGCCCTAGCCATAATTACCAAAATTTGGTTGACTTGCTCGACTACATCGTTTGTCCTTGCCTAATCACAATTGCTTGCATTCAATCCGCCTCACCTCTCACTCATTGAATCACTCTTTCTTTTTCTGACTCTCATGGTCCTGCTTTCTTCCTCTCAATCTCTTGGCATCTTACTCTCCTATCACTCTTATATTATGTTCAACCCCCTTCATCATATCCCTTTTGATCTAGCTAATTCGCCTCATTATGTTCAAACTTCATCATATCCCTTTTGATCTAGCTAATTCGCCTAAGCTTAACCCTTAATCAAGCCTTTTGTTTTATTACTTACTCTTCCATTCACCTAGAAAGTCACCCAGTCATCAAACTTAGTTACCCAAGAAACTCGACTAATTGCCCAAGGTACCCTCTAATTGACTAGTGGCTTATCTGAAGTTCTGGAGTAACTGCAAACTTCAAGCCAAACTCACCCGCTACATAGTTAGCCACACGAACTCCAAACTCCAAATTATGTGCTTTCTATGTAATCTCACCGTGCAGCTAATTCTATAAAATTGGCCTTGATATTTACCTATAAATGGGGGTCATTATTGAGTGATGTATCAATATAATCTTGTTTTTTTAAGCTGAAACTTTGTTCCATCGAAGTTTGTCTCATAATCTTATTAAAATTCTCTTTGCAGTCATTTTCTTTCGTTCCTGAATTATTGTTATAGTTTAGTTCAACTCTCTCATCTCTGTCAATGGGATTTGAATGGTTTTTCTTAAGACTAATTCACTTGGGAGAATTATTGAGACTTAGCTTTTCTCTTTCTCATCCATTCTACTCATTGGATTGGATCCGCATGTCTAGTAGGGTCTTGTTATTTTTCCATGGGCAACATTAAATGGAATACTTTTGCTTCTAGTTTTAAGGGTCGTAGGGTATACCATTTGCACCCTTAATCCATGGATTTGAAATAAATCTGTAAGGGTCTCATAAATCCTGGATATATCCGATTTGGGATTTATTCAGATTTATCAAAACCAGTATTTATTAAATCAAGGTCTAGGTTGGATTTATGGGATTTCCTGTACAACTTTTTGCAGAAACTTTTCTTGCTCACCTCGTTGAAATTATCCCCACTATCCTCTAAAGAATGTGTCGCTCTCATCATGTGCTAGCCACAGTTAGTGAAGTGCATGCAATTGGTATAAGCAGTTAAAATGGATGCATTCATATTTGTTGTGGCTGCATTTAAATTTGCCTTATCATTCTCTATAATTATACGGTGAGCTGCCATTTCCTTTAACCATATAATGATCATTTTTTCTCTTTTTCATAAGAGTTTAATTTGTTCTTATAGCTACTTTGCATTCCTATCCAGGATGAAAAGATACAGAATGTCTTGGGGCACTTTCAGAAAGAGTTTGAAGGTGGTGTTTATGGCGAGAGCTTGGGTAAGATAAAATTTATGCAGATCTGCAGTTCACTACGATGCTGACATTAGTTATAAAAGGCAGCTGATTTTGTGAGAAATTCATTGCTTATTAGGAGCAAAGTTCGGGGGATATGGCTCATTTCTTCCTGTATACTCGCGCTCTCCTTCGATTTCGCTACAACCTAAAAGCCTACAACCTAAAAGCCCAGTGAAGACTCCTAACCACAATGTGTCAAGATCTCCAAACAACTTGCAGTCCCAGGTAGCCTTAATCAGAATTGAAGCTTGGGAAATTTACATATCTAGCACAAAATTCTTATTTATTTACATATCCCACACCTAAACTTTCATATTTACATATCTAGCACAAAATTATATATTTACATATCTCACACCTAAACTTTCATATTTACATGCATAGGCTCTTTGGTGGTTTAAACCTATGCGTCAAAAGGTGTATTTTAATTAAAAATGATAATAATGCTATTTTCTATGTGATGTTAAATGTTTGAGTGCTATGTGTGTATATATGAAAGTATAGGTGTGAGGTATGTAAATACATAAGAATTGTGTGCTATGTATGTGAATGCTCCTTTGGCCTTTCTTTTGACCTATAGAAGACAAGTATGTGGCTATATTTCCTCTGCGTTGCCTTCATTCTCATGTTCTTTGTAATTTATGGTATAGGATGGACATCAAAACCCATCTATTCTAGGAACCACATCCATCACAAAGGTCAGCATTGGATCTGATGGACAACTAACTGAGAAGCCAGGCATAAAGAAGGCCAGCATTAGCGTGCTCCGGTCTGAGAGAATTTTACAGTCCCTCAGTAAGCCGGTCAATTTGAGTGACAATAAGATGCAGGAAGTTCGCATGATGGTTGGGAATGAAGATGCTTTTCCCAGAAAAAAACCTGACATTTACAGTGATTTAGGCCTTGATGTTTCTCCATCTCCATCTCCATCTCCATCTCTTGATGATTTTCCAAATAGAAATGAAGAGTGTTCTTCTGAATCTGCAGATGCATTCCTGGATTCTCCTACCACCATTCTTCAGGTCATGCTCGTTCATGACCACTCATAGTTTTCATTCTAGATGTTACAATAGATTCAGACTACCAGGATTTTGATATTTTGTTTCATAAATGTGATAGAGCAGATCATGACGTGCTTTTCAGTTCCGGGAGGCTATATTCTGTCACCTCTTCCTGATAGCCTGCAAAATTCAAATGGAAAAGAGGACATTTTTCTCACAAATTTTAAAACAGGAGTGCTGCGCAAAGGACAGACTGAAACTTGTGCTGCTTCATCCGACACATCTCTAAACTTAGAATTTGTCAATGGCTCCCCTTGCAAGAGCGTTAAATCAGGAGACACAAGTCAGATGTTAAGGGAAACAGACCGATTGATTTGTGAGGGTGATGTGATGCCATATTTAAAGAAGGAAACTGGAATTGAAACTATTGTAGCACAAAACATTATTTGTAGTGCCCCTGATATTTCACAATCATCTCGTGCTAGTTGCGGAGATGCAAGAGAAGAGAGACTGATAAATGGTAGTTCAGCAACGGAAATTTGCCACACTGCTGGTAATCTGAAGGATTCAGATAAGCTATCGCTGAAGGAAAGAATCCCCGTATCTCATGTAAGCACGGATAGCCATGCAGAGTTCATGGAAAACATGAGAAATAATTTTGCAGGGAATTCAGTGATGGAATCTATCCATTCCAATGGGGAAGTGAATTCTAAATCTGGTTTAACCACTAAATCATACGGAGAAAGAATTGGAAATAATCAAGACACTTCATGCCAACCAACAGAAACGGAAAGTAGAGCTTTAAAAAATTTTAACACGACCAAGGTTGATTCCAAAAGGTATGATACTGGGTGGAAGAATCATGCTATTGAACATAAGGGACCTGCAAACCAAAACCAAAATCCTGCAAAGAAAGATGCTTCATGTGAAAAAGGAAGGATAGACCAACCATTAGATGGAGACATAATACCCATAGTAAGTCCAACTAATGACTTACCTTGTATTAAACCATCCAAGGAAAATCTGGGAACTTCATCTTCTGTGGAACTCAAAAGGAAAAATGGATTTTCCTATGAAAGTAAATTGGAAGAAAATAAATCGCATAAGAAAAAGAAGAAAGGCAAGGCTGTGGAATCCCATAATGGCTTTGGAGAGAGTACTCACATTCAGAAAGTTGATGAAAACAAACATACGTTTGGCTCTTCTAGGTTTATTGAGAAGTCAAAGTTGGAGCTGGGGCTTGACACGGTTGATAATCATCAAATTGCTAATTTAGCCACTGATGAACCGGGCATTGCTTCTCTTGCATGCAATGCCCCAACTTCAGATGTAGATTCCACAATTATTTCTTCGGTTATAAAGGAAAATTGGGTAATTTGTGACTTATGCCAAACTTGGCGCCTTCTACCCTATGGAACGAATCCTGATAAGCTTCCCAAGGAATGGCAATGTAGCATGCAAGTTTGGCTGTAAGTTTCCATCTTGATGAAGATATACTTTTTTTCTCCTTTTTTTATTTAAAATAGTTTGGATAAATTTCCTATCTGCTATGATCACGTGAGCACTCTATTAAATTGAAAGCTATTAATGAAAGGGGTTATTTCATAATTTTTTATTAATTCATTTTTTTTTTTCACTTGAAGAAATAGATTTAGTTATATAAAAAACATTATTTGTAACACACATTTTTGCATATTATTATCAGGCTGTGTCATGTTGAAAGTTGAGTGCATGAATTAATACTTCACAAAATTTATTAGATGGGGGACAAGTCTTTAAGTCGTTTTCTATGTGCTATATATTCTCCCCGAGTTGATGCTAAGAGTAGCAAGTATATGTGTAAGAGTAATCCTAATTTAGCTCTGCCGTTACGTTTTAAAATTTATTGTGTTTCAAAGCATAATTGATTTATATTTCCATTATATTATTTCTTTCACTACTCCTATTTTGGTGTATATTCTTAGAAACAAACTGTGTGAATTAGGTGGATTATTGTTATCTTTAGTTCGCTGAAAGGAATTTGTTTGATTTTGCAGAGAACGGTCATGTAAGTTAAATTTATGATTTAGATGCATGATGCACCATTGTAAGAATAAATATCCATATTCAACACGGAAAGTGATTTTTTTAATTATTCAATATGATAATGTATATTGAAACAAATAAAATCTGTTATTATTCAATAAAGTTAATGAAGATTCATTTATGATAGCATTTAATCACATTTTCTCCGTGAAGATTATGCTAATAAGAACTTCTGATTTTTAAAAATAATATTTAAGATCATGTTTGTTTTTTGTGCTGGGAAACTAATACTTTATGTTTTGTACTGTTACTTTAAAATACTAATACTTTATGTTTTGTACTGTTACTTTAAAATAATTGATACTGGAGTTAACCTAAACCACAATAGAAAAAATAAATATTATTACTGAAAGCAAATAGACACTTTCAATCAAACACACTTGAAAGGGAAAATACAACACACATGAAAAACAAACTCACGTTAGGGCGGATCCCGGGTGATGGTGGTGACGGTTTTGGGTTGGGGTGGGGAGGGGGATGACAACCATTATGGGTTGCTGAAACAACAGGGCAGCAAGGGGCCAACCATCCAAACAACTGCATTGCAGTTTGCAGTTTGGGGCGGTTGGACAGCGGGAAAACAACAACGGGGTGGGGTGGGGTGGGTGCCGTTCTTGGAGAGGTACTGGAAAGGTAGAGAAGGGATTTTTGGATTGTGGATGAGGGATGACAACCATTATGGGTTGCTGAAACAACAGGGCAGCAAGGGCCCAACCATCCAAACAACTGCATTGCAGTTTGCAGTTTGGGGCGGTTGGACAGCGGGAAAACAACAACGGGAAGGCGTTGCGAGTGCGACAATGATGGTGGAGGGCTTGGACAGCGAGGACTGCTAGTAAAGAGGGCTGGAATGACGATGGAAGCGAGTATGGGGTGGCTGGAAGGATATGAGCTGTCGGAAACAACAAAAGGAGGGCTGACGGCTGATTCAGAAGGTGTAAAGCGTGTATTGTGGAAGGCAAATGGCTAGAACAACGATTTTTGCAAGCGGGGGCGTTGGAATCGTAGGGAACTTGGGGCTGAAATGTAGAAATTGCTGGAAGAACAGCGTCGACAGCTGTTTCGGCAGTGCAACAAAGAACAGTTGGTAGGAGCAGTGTGAGGAGGATATGGAAGGGGATTAGGGAAGTTAAACACCACATCGGGAGAGAGATACAACTGGAGCATTACCTAATCCCTTCGGAAACAACAAAAGGAGGGCTGACGGCTGATTCAAAAGGTGTAAAGCGTGTATTGTGGAAGGCAGATGGCTGGAACAACGATTTTAGCAAGCGGGGGCGTTGGAATCGTAGGGAACTTGGGGCTGAAATGTAGAAATTGCTGGAAGAACAGCGTCGACAGCTGTTTCGGCAGTGCAACAAAGAACAGTTGGTAGAAGCAGTGTGAGGAGGATATGGAAGGGGATTAGGAAAGTTAAACACCACATCAGGAGAGAGATACAACTGGAGCATTACCTAATCCCTTGTATACACTCTTGAAGGGGAAAACGGATGCCGACGACCATCCTGTCAAAAATCAGAGTAAAAAACTACTTAAAACATGAATGCAATGTATTTATAGACTTGGGGTAAATAGGAGTGACCCTCACTTCAAATTGGAGAGAAATTCACTTTAAGGAATGGTCGACTGAACCCTCCTGGACCAGTCCACACCACCCTCGCTCATGGGAGTTCGTGGTATTGTAGCGGTACTATAGCAATAACTGTAAAGAATGCCTTCTGGTTCGCTTCTGTGTCAGTTTCTTGGGGTTGGGGGAATTTCGACTTTCATCTGTCGAAGCTTTTGTCTCCTCATGGTAGCCAGAGCAGCCCTGTTGAAGATAGTGGAAATGTTACAAGCTTCCGATAAGTCAATCATGTAGGCATTGTCATTCCAAAGCATATCCTGATGGAATAAATATCCATGCTCTTTTGGCACAACTTGAGCTGGAGTTGCATAACAACATAGATTCTCACGAGCCCAATCCCAAGCAAGTAAATCTATAATTTGCTTTTCCCACTTTTCTTATTCGGCTGGATGTATATGATAAATTAATATGTTGGCAGGGTGAGCCACTCTCATTAGCAACTACTCAAGAGAAACTTTTTGTTCTTCTCTGGTAGGACCTAAATCCTATTGTAGGATTTTCTTTTCCACCAAGATCCTGACGTAATACCCAATGCTATGGTTCATCCATCACGTCTGATCCTCTTTCGGTTGGTACACTGCTGAAATACTTAAATGATTCCCTATTGTTTTTCATAAGTAGCTCAAATTCTTCTCCTCTTTGACAAGTTGGATCTCCCTTAGTAGGGACAACTTAGGAGGTAGACTATATATCCGAAATGTTTGAAATCATTTTATTTGAAGTTGTCTTGTGTCTAGTGTCTATTCTTCAAACTTATGACCCTTTCAGACATTCAATGTCAATCGTGTTGATGCTTCTTCGAACACCTACAATAATGTAGTTCGAGGCACCACGACTTCATACTCTATATGAATGTTCATTATCTCACGCTTACTACCTTCTAGAATAGAATTACTGTCAACTCAACTGGAGTCTCTTTCCTGGGTTCAACTGGAATTGCTGGCGTCTCGTCCCTGTCAGTTGGTAGTTGAGAAGCCTCTTGGATATCTTCATCTTCTCCAGGATCACTATTTATCTCTTCAACTACTCTTTTTTCCGTGAAAACGATCATTCTCCTGGTTATGTAATCTGCTTTGGTATGCACAAATCCATGACACTTGAAACACTTCATGATTGGAGTGGATTTAAAACTGTGGATTGACTCCACCTGTTCTCCATTATAACCTAGTGCTTCCTCAGGCGAAGTCGGTTGAGATGTTCTCTTGAGTGTAAGATTCTGAGATTGAACTGTCACGACTAGGCTTGATGTTTGGAGGTAACTAAGATTGGAACGGACGGTCAGACGATGAAAATCAAATATCTGTTATTCTATTTCTATAACTAGACGGTAAAAATCAAAAATATGTTATTCTATTTCTATAACTAACAGTTAAATATTAAAAAAAATCATGAAAGAGCCACTAATGAAAGCAAATTTAATTAACAATTAGAAATTTGTATCTTTCCTGTTGCTGTTCTCGCTTCCTGTACATATTATCTCATCTTTTATTCATCATAATTAAAAGCTTAAACCTGGAAAAAATGTTAAAGAAACATAATTAGTTATCTAAAGATTACTCAGGAGTAATCACACTTCTATTTACAGTAATCTGAAGAAAAGAAATCAATATACATGGTACTCTTTTATATCCTTATAAAAAATATTTTACTATGCTAATCTTTCATATGAAATATTTGAATATACTACTGCATGTATCAATGATATTTTCTAAATGAAAATATCCTAAATTTTTATATGCATTATCTTTACTTTACTATTATTTTATACTCTTTACATACACATTTGTTTGCTTTGAGGATCACCGTCAAAACAATCTAGCACACTCTTAGTCGAAATTATCTCGTCGGCTTTCGTTGGCACAATGGTTAGTGATATAAATATCACAATTGTCTATGGTGGAAATGTCTTTTCCTGCCCATGATTGATATTATCCTGTCGGTACAACAGTTGACAATCTATACATCACAATTGTCTGGGGTGGTAAGCTATGTCTACTCCCCTCTGGCTGATATTATCCCGTTAGCACAGCGTTTAGTGAAGTAGCTATCACAATTGTCTGGGATGACAAAAAAATCACTACGCCCGCGGGTACACTGACATCCCCTGTCTGTATCTTTGGGGGTGAACTCCTCTAAACATGCACATACAAACATTCATGTATATCATATTTTCATTTCATACTTCAAAGCATACATCACTTTCATGTGAGACGTGTTTATTTACTAAAAATCATGCAACTCCAGTAAAATCTAAGTCATATGATAATCTAAAAGATACATCTTTACACTTAAAAGTCAAGTAAAGGTCAAATCACACTCTGACATATATATCCAGTAATACAATGAGCTAACATATACATCTTTATTAGAATATATAGATCGTGTAGCAATCTGATATCTTCGTAAACTAAACCATTATGCAATTTTTAAGGCAACGACATTTGACATGCATATATCATGAGTGGTCATATGAAGAATGATAGGTAATTTGATTTCATTGGGTGTGGGGATTGCTAGAAATCCTAGGATATGACTAGGGCTAGGCTTGCTCTGATACCAAATGATAGCAGACTTAACCCAAACCATAATAAAAAAAAATAAATAGGCTGTTTAAATCAAACACACTTGAAAGGGAAGATACAACACACATTACATACGAACTCAAGTTAAGGCAGATCTCGAATGATGGTTAGGGGGGTTTGGAGAGGGCGGCAAGTTAGGGAAGGGGTTTTCGGATTGTGGATGAGGGACGTCAGCGTTT